CTCAAGCTGACATCTTTGCTCTTCAACACTTTAAAAAGGTCTTGTGCAGCAGATTTACCTAATGCAATATGTCGTTTGATTTCTTGACTGCTGCTTCCATGAGTGTTGATAGTTGATCCAAGAAGAATGACGTCCTTGGCAACTTTAATCTTTTCTCCATTGATAAGAATGTTGTTTATTGGTCCAGTTGTGAGGATTTTTGTTTTCTTTACATTGAAATGTAATCTATACTGAAGGCTGCGCTCTTTGATCTTATAGTGCCACATCAGAATTCCATATATCTGCCCTAGTAAAGTATAAATTTCCCACTTTCCCCTTGTTCACTTCCCTTTTTCTTGACAATTTTTTTTATTGTAGTGAAAAATATATAACAAAAATTGCCATTTTGATCATTTTAAGTGAACAATTCTGTGACCATGTCTATTTCCCAAAATGTACCACCCCAAACAGAAATGTCATACCCTTTAAGCAATCCCTCCTCCCTGATTCCATAATCTTAAAGACACACAGTTATCTGTCAGATATTTTACCACTGTGGGTGAACTACTTGTAACTTTTTTCATGATAATACTGTTAACAGATTAAAATATATAAGGAAGATGTTTGTTTTTTTCATTCTGAAATGCCATCCATGTGTTGCTTCTTGCAAAGAGATTTTGTGTGATTGGTTGAAGTCTACCTGCCAGTTATGTAAAAGCCTGAACACCAGTAGACTTCCACAGGATTTAAATTATGGTCATCTTACTTGGAGAAGTAAGCATTTCATTTTCAGAAACTTTAAGAAGAAGAACTTCCAAAATGATTTTTTATTAGCGATAATAGTATATTGCTACATTATAGCAATATTTAATATATCTATTTTGTAACAGTATGCCTGAGGTTAATGTGAAAATGTTATTAGTCTTTATCTGTTTGTTTTTTTCAAAAAAAAAAAAAATAAACCCCATCATCATCACCCACTATAGTTTAGTGGGTGACTAGAACTTATTCATATAGATAAGATTTCTGCCTGTTCTTTTAATTTTATGTATAAAAATATTATCATAAATAATATATTTGTATGATTTCAGTGTATTATGAAAAAAACAAACATGGTCTATTGAAAAACCATTTAAATATCTATACTGGTTTTCCTTAGAATTTTGTATATATTTCAAAATCAGTGTTTTATTTAAAATATATGTTAATGGTACCATTTTATGTTTATGAAGTAAAAATTGATCTCCAAAGGAACTAAAATTAGCGCTTTAATATGAAACTTTGTCTCTTAAGGAAAAATATCTATGACTTCATAACTACTGTGATCCTCATGATACTAAAAAAAACAAAAACAGCTGATAATACTGTGATAAATTTGTATAAAATAAGTTTCCTATCAAAATACTTTTTTCTATTATAATGTCTATAGAATCTATCTCCATAAGGTATATTTCGCAGCGACTTTCATTAGATGGTTTGTTCTTACTGATTAGAGTCTTAAAAACATTTCTAATGAAGTTTATAAAAATATTAGAAGTTTATAGAAATATTGAATACCTGTGAAATTATTGAGTAAACTATCATTAATGACCACAATATATAATTTTTAATTGACTTAACTTTTAGAGTAATCTTTAAATTTTCTGTAGGTATCGAATGCTTATTTGTAGTCTTAGTTTGATGCTTGTAGGATAGCATTGGACTGCTAACCATGAGACCAGCGTTCAAACCCACCAGCCACTCTAAGAAACCCTATACAGGGCCACTATGAGTCACAGAATGGACTTGACAACACTTAACAACAATGTTTATTTATAATAGATTTACCCTATCAACTTAACCTGTCTCTTCTTAGACTCTTCATTGCCCTAGAAAAACCTAAAGCTCACTCACTTAGCATTAATATCTATAAAGTTTCTCTACAAGTATAATATTTACTGTGAGAATGTTTACTGTGCACTCAGAGAATCAAATTTTAGCATTTCGTTTTGGGGAAAAATCATTTTATATTCTCAGTAGGAATAGGTACATGTAGAGAAGAGTCATTTGCTTTCAAATCCTTGAAGAGTTAATTCAGTATATATTTCAAGAACCTTATATGATTTATTTGAAATTCCTAATGTCTCTTTGAGAGATCAAGTACATTTTTTTATAGGTTCTAAGGCCTTCCCTTACAGAATGTGTATAAACAGTGTCACCTTTTAGAGATCATTCAGTTACACATTATAACTACATTTTGAGAGAATAATGTATTACGACATTGGAATATAGAACCCTTTTCTATGCAGGAGGAGGAAAGGGACTAGTCTATGGAATGGGTCTGAAAGAAGGCTAATAGCCTTGGATTTACGTAATTGGGTAATTAAACGGACACTGAAGTTAATGAGATCTGGCATTTGGATTTTCTCAAGTGGATTAAACACTGCTTTTCTCCCCTCCCCTTCTTCCCACAGGAAACCAGTTTCCTCCAATTGCAGCACAGGATCTTCCCTTTGTTTTAAAGGCTGGCTACCTTGAAAAACGGAGAAAAGGTAAACTTGACTGAAAGAGCCCCGTGAAAAATCTGAAAATGGTTTTATCCTCAGATGAAGTATGTATGCAGTATACATGTGGAGCTGATATGTTCTTTAGGTGAAGAGTTTTAAAGCTGTAAGAAAATCTGGATGACATTATCCAACCCATAATATACATGTACAGCTTTTGGCTTTAAACAAATTTAAAAAAAAGAAAAAACATTTGGTCAGAGTTTTTAGTTGTCAGCCATGGTTATTTATAAGTGACTCAGGACTGTTTCCTGCTTCTTCTAGAAAAGCTGTTGGCGGTGATTATGGTCTCAAGTATGGGATTTCTCACCATTCTCTCTCCCGGCTGAGCAGCAGGTTATCCTGTACCTGACCCGGCATACACCATGTCGGCTATGCTTCAGATCAAGCCTGCCATATTGCCTGCCATTCCTATTATTCATTTCAATGTTCCTCTCCATTGGCTATGATAATTGGGAGTTGACCATATGGTCTCACTCTTTCAACACCAATATATAATGGAAATGAAACATGGAGGTGGCGCTATGCTATAGGAAATGAAAAGCAGAAAGTCTCTTCAGTACCATTCTGCTTATCTCTCAGGTAGTCCCTTTGGGCCCTATTTGTGTTCTATTTTCTTTTCTTAGTTTCTTAGCTGAATTTTAAAGCCAAAAGAGATAATAGAAATAATCTAGGTCAACTCCTCCCTCCACTTTCTTAACAGATGAGAAAATGAGACCCAGATAATCAATGATTTCAAGGCTGTGTAGTCCAATGCCTCTTCTGACTGTCCCTGGATGGGCAGTTTGCTGTTCTGTCAGTTGATCTCATAAGTGTGGCAGCCTGTCCCTTGTTTTATCTCTTGGAATAGAAAATGCAGAGTAATTAGTCACATCATTTTAGAGCTAAAAAAGAACATTCGTTTTACAAATGTTTCCTTTTACATGTAAGGAAAGGGGCTTTACACTTCTGTATGGAATGGATATATGTTATCTAAACTGCTTCCCCTCTTTGTTGTAGATCACAGCTTTCTGGGATTCGAATGGCAGAAACGGTGGTGTGCTCTCAGTAAAACAGTCTTCTATTACTATGGAAGTGATAAAGGTAGTGTTGATGTTTAATAATTTCAACTAATGTTGCAGCAGTTTTTGCCATTTTGTCCTTTTTTTTCCCCCTTTGTGTAGAGCATACTCTGTAAATTCAAGACAATAGGGAAAAAACAACTGAGAATTTAAAAAAATGTGATCTAAGTTTAATTTACAGTTCTATTTCCTTCTCTGAAAAGTGCTCTGAAATTCAAAATGCTCTTAAAAATGGACATAGTTGTGCTTTATTGAATTAAGAAATAGAGTAAGATGCCTTAACTATGTGGCCTTTTACTTTAGAAAGTATTAATCCTCTAAGTTAGAGTTGTAAAGTTTCTGGAAAAGTTCAGACCGAAGTTTTGTGAGAGTTTTGAAGGGAAGAGAGATATTTTTTCCTTAAGTAATTTTAAAGAAAAAGCTAGACAAAAACAAACAAATAGATGCAACACCTTTCTCAGCTCCCTTCACACATTTAAATAGCAGCAAACATCTATATAGAGTTTACTATGTGCTAGGTACTATTCTCTGGTAGCGTAGTGGTTACGAATCAGGCTGTGAACCTTAAGGTCAGCAGTTCGAAACTACCAGCCGCTCCGCAGAAGAAAGATGAGGCTTTCTACTCCCATAAGGATTTACACCCTCGGAAACCCTGTACGGGGTCGCTAAGGGTCGGAACCGACTCGACGGCACTTAACAACAACAGGTACTATTCTAATAAGCACTTTTGCTATAATAACTCATGTAACAACACTATAAACTAGGAACTATATCACTAGCTCCATTTGTTTTACTTTTAAGAAAAGGAAGGACAGAGGGGTTAAGTAACTTGTTCAAGGTCACAGAGCTAATAAAATGGCAGACTTGAGAGTTGAACCTAAGCAGTATGTTTATAGAGTCTCTGTGCTTATTGTCACTTTGTTAATGTAGTTAAAAAAAAAAAAAAAGACTGTATTTTGTAACTTCATTTGCTCATTGATTAAATCTGCTAGACAGAGTTTACATACTTTTAAATATATTATTTAAACACAGAACCTTGAAATGATGAAATTTAAAGAATATAGGCTTTCTTGTTTTTGTGTTTTTCTAGTAAAGGTAGCCTAAAAGTTGTATATTATAAATAAGGGTCTTAAAAAACCCCAGAAAATATTCATTTCCAGAAAGGGCATTAGAAAAAGACTTTAAAGAAAAGCCCAATATCACTGAATACAATCTTGTGTGTGGTTAGTGGTTAAATGTCGTCAAGTCAGTTCTGACTCATAGCAGCCTTGCATAGCATTTCCCATGAGCAGTGGGTGGGTTTGAACTGCGGACCTTGTGGTTCGCAGTCCAATGCTGATCATGCAGTAACACACCAGGTGTTACGTTTCATTTGACATTATTTGTAGTTTTAAATTCCACCCCCTCATTATAAAAATATACAGATAAGGTTACTGTGTCTCAGAAAAATTTGATATACTTGTATAATGCAAGAAATTGGCCTCACTTTTTAACTGTGATTAACAAGCTTAAGGATTAATTTAGTGACTAGTTTGCATTCTGTTATTGAATTGCAATGTGCTCAGATATAATAATCGTACCAATGAAGGAAAACTAGGTGATTTTGTGATAGAGTTTTAGATTTCATGTTCAGTTCTGATGATCATAGGCCATAAACATATATTGGTATTATAAAAACTTAATTTTGTAAAGTATTATTAATTTAGAGTAAACTCTTACCTTTCCATAAAGAAATATTCTCTATTTAATCTCTTTGGTGGATATATAGGTCACAAGACCAGGAAAGGAAGTTTCAAATCCTTACGACTAGTTCAATAATGCTTTTCTCTGTTGTAAATTCTTTAAGAATCAATTAATGCTAATGTTAATGTTCCCTCTTCTCCTAGTCCTGGGGTGGTATATAGTTATTAATAGGTCAGAGGTCACAAAGAGGTGCCTGAACCCTAAGGAGTATTTATGTATATTACAAAAGTGGCTCTGTGAGTTAATGCATTGGACTGCAAAGTTGGTTTGTACTGCAAGTTCGTCAGTTTCAAGCTCACCAGTCGCTCCTCAGAAACCCTATACAGGGTCGCTGTGGGTTGGAACCAACTTGATGGCACTCAACAACAACAACAATACTCAGTGAAGAAATTCTGGTTGGATTTTTTGTGTGTGGGTCTCATATAAGCTCTCATTTTTATTCTTATTTGATGAGACCTTTTGGTAATGGCGTTCTTTGTAATTGCCTTTTAACTAGTTTGTGATCCATGTAGCTCTCCCTCCCTCCCTTGTACTTTTTCAAAATTACACATGTAGCATTTCTTCTTCATGTTGCTATTTGAAGATCTGGTTCTTATTTCTTAAGCTCTTCAGAACCTATTACTATGAAGTCCCTGTTTTCAGGGAGATTTTAGATCTGCCTGTAGTGACTATTTTCTCTTTTGGAATTCTAGGCCAGTTCCATTTCTTTTAGAGACAAAAAAAGAAATCTGTCTTTAGATAATTTTTAATTGTTTGTTTGGCATGATCCTAATTTCTTTATTTATTTAGATTTTTCTTTCACATAAAATTTTCATTTTCTTTTGTTAAATTAGGTAGTGGATTTTGTGCAGTCTTGTTCACTGTATATGGGAACCATTTTCCCTAACATTGGAAAGAGCTATTTAGATATATGAGAACTATAATCCTCCAAATAAGTACTATATGGATCAACAGACTGTAGAGACGCAGAAGGAGTTGATACCACTTACTAGGTTAAACTGTACTTTGTTACTATTTGACAGATGCATAACTAAGGATTTTATAACTTACTGTGCGTGCCAAGAAAGTATTGACCCATGAAGACAGTAATGGCTCCAAAAGAGTAGTCCCAGCCTCTAGGGCAAATAATGCACTTACTTTTATGCTCATAAATAGTGTGTGTATTTATTATTCATAGCCATTTGGGGCCTTAAGTAACAAATGTATACAGTTCATATTTTATCACTTTACGAAATAGCATCCATCCTCTGTCGTCTTTCTCTTCATTTGATTGACATTAGTCTCATTCATCAAACTTCTTACATTCTATGTGTTCAGACGTCCATTAAGGATGTTCATACATTCACTCGCTTATTCATTTTTTATTTTATTCAATAAACATTTATCGGACACCTGGTGGATACTAGGCACTGGGGAACCAAAGCTATTCACACAGTTTGCTTTGTGTGAATATCAGTGAGAGGAAGAGAGGATGCTGTGGGGTTGTTTTTGGTAGAGTGGTCAGGTAAACCAGTTGAGACTATTGCTTAAACTGTGCAGTCCAGTAAATGAATGTGCATAAAATGTATGTGGACCACAAAGGAAGGAAGGCAAAGAGCCTAGGAGGAATAAGGAATGTGTGTTAGTGGAGGAAGGCCCACTTTATTGGACCTTAAAGAACGAGTAGGAGTTTGTTGATGAAGGATAAAATGGGCATCCCTGGCAGGGAAGCAGTCAAGCTTATGAGTTGTGAAGGGCCGTGCATGGACTCAAGGTTGGGATTAAAGTTGGAGCCTGGTGTGAGTGAGGGGAGGAAGCATGGTATGTGAGGTTAAAGAAGTCTATCAGGATCAGATTGACAGGATCTTATGAGGAGAGAGAAGCATGCTAAGGATGCTTGAGGATGGCCTTGAAGCAGAGGGTTTAAAGTTGGACCAGATTTGGGTTTTAGAATATAATTGTGATAGTATTGTAGAGGATGGGTTCGAGTGGGTAGAGACTGGTCAATACCGTTTAGTAGAACATTGTCCTAGTCATGGAAGAAAGGGTAGCACCGGGTTGTTGACGATTTCAGTGAAATCTTCTTCGACCGCAATGTCACAGCTTTCCACAGCTCAGCGGTTGTTAATCAGTACATCCAACAGGCTGTAAGGGATGGGTCTTTTAGAAACTTAGTCCCAACATTTTGTTTCTTCCGTTTCTCTGTTTAACCTACTTATGAACTTGAATCAGCATTATGAACCTTATCTCCTTCCACTAGCCTCCCCCGCTTTCTTTTTGGCAGTAGGGTTAGGTTGTAGTTTCTTTTTTTCCTCCACTTACAGGCTTTTATGCTTTTCTGTCTCCCCACATACAAATATTCCAGTGCCACCCAATATGTGGCAATTGAAAATAGCTGTCTTTCTGGTTGGTTCTGACATTTTGAATGTATATCAAAGGTTACTTATTACATCATGTGGTCATAATTTTTTCATTGTAATAGCTTTCTAATTATAAAATGTAAGTCAGTAGAAAATTGGGCATTAATTCTTCTTTGGAGCTCGGTGTGGCGCTGTAAGATAATCACTGAACTGCTAACTGAAAGGTTGGTGGTTCAAACCCACCAGCCACTCCTTGGAAATTCAATATAGAGTTACCTAAGAGTTGGAACTGACTGGACAGCACTTAACAATAACAACACAACACTTCCCCAAAGAATTCTGAACTTTGGGATTTACATTACATAAGAATGGCAGTTTGGGCATCATCATATTCCTTTTCAATGTTCTTTTGAGTTTTTAGAACAAAAATAAGTCTGAATAAGCAAGATCCAGGATGTAAGGTGATTGTCCAGTAAAATTCTCATAGGACAGCTCTTATACTCTTGAAGAATGAGCACTTGCATTGTTGTATTGAAAATAAAAAATTTAAAAAAATCCCTTGGTGCAATTTTTCCTGAACTATTTCTCAGTAGTGCTGATTTCTGTTTTCATAAAACGTCTTCAGAATAAGCCCTCATGATTGTTCTGTGTCCTTTAAGAAAAATCTATCAAGATTATCCCTTGGGAATCCCCCCCCCAAAAAACCCAGTTGCCATAGCCTTCTAAGCTGACATCTCTGTGTTGAATTTAACTGGCACAGAAGATCCCTTTGGAAGCCACTATTTTAACTGGACCTTGCTCTCTGGATTGGATTGGTAAATCTAAGATGTGTTCCTAGTTATGATGTGTTCCATAAAATCATCTTCATTAGCTTTGATCTTCCTTAAAAGACTGATAGAAAGATCAGCTCTTTGAGCTAGCTGATCTTCATGCAGTGCTT